AAAGAAAGAGAATTTCATAAAACAATGATAAATATGAAGAGAAAGAGAATTTCATAAAACAATGATAAATATAAAAAGAAAAATAATAATATAAAATAATGATAAATATGAAAAGAAAGAGAACTTGATAAAACAATGAGATATATGATAAGAAAGAGAATAAGTTTCATGTTAACATCAGCACCATGCTCAACTAAGAATTGGACAATTTCTATTGAATTAGCTTTGATGGCAATACTAAGAGGGCATTCATTAATATCAAGAGAATTTCATAAAATAATGATAAATATGAAAAGAAAGAGAATTTGATAAAATAATGAGATATATGATAAGAAAGAGGATAAGTTTCATGTTAACATCAGCACCATGCTCAACTAAGAATTGGATAATTTCTATTGAATCAGCTTTGATGGCAATACTAAGAGGGCATTCATTAATATCAAGAGAATTTCATAAAATAATGATAAATATGAAAAGAAAGAGAACTTGATAAAACAATGAGATATATGATAAGAAAGAGAATAAGTTTCATGTTAACATCAGCACCATGCTCAACTAAGAATTGGACAATTTCTATTGAATTAGCTTTGATGGCAATACTAAGAGGGCATTCATTAATATCAAGAGAATTTCATAAAATAATGATAAATATGAAAAGAAAGAGAATTTGATAAAATAATGAGATATATGATAAGAAAGAGAATAAGTTTCATGTTAACATCAGCACCATGCTCAACTAAGAATTGGATAATTTCTATTGAATCAGCTTTGATGGCAATACTAAGAGGGCATTCATTAATATCAAGAGAATTTCATAAAACAATGATAAATATGAAAAGAAAGAGAATTTGATAAAATAATGAGATATATGATAAGAAAGAGAATAAGTTTCATGTTAACATCAGCACCATGCTCAACTAAGAATTGGATAATTTCTATTGAATTAGCTTTGATGGCAATACTAAGAGGGCATTCATTAATATCAAGAGAATTTCATAAAACAATGATAAATATGAAAAGAAAGAGAATTTTATAAAACATTGATAAATATGAAAAGAAAGAGAATTTTATAAAACATTGATAAATATGAAAAGAAAGAGAATATAATTTTTGTTGATTTTTCCTCCATTAGAGAGTAAATAAGACGCAACATCATAATTTCCGAAATGCATACTTTCTGCTATTGAATCAAAAGTTTGTCCAAAATTAGATTTAAGATACTCGGCAATTTCATAGTTTCGATAATCCAATGCTGTATTAATCATGTTATCAAATGATTTACCATCTTCTATCATTTGCATAAAAATGTTATTATTTCCGCCTTGAACAGCATATTCTTCGGAGTGTTTAGTGTATTTAGCTCCTAAATTTTTCAAGTAATTGAAACACAATTCTGATCCATATTTAATTGCACAATCAAGTGATGTGATTTGATAATCTATTTTCTTAATAATATCAAGATTTGGGAATTTACTCTTAAGATCATTAACTTTATCCCATGCAATATAGTATAAAGGAGATTCTGTTGAATACAAATTCAAAATTTCTTCTTCTTTCATTTCAGGTTCAAAGTTTTCAAAATCGAAACCTTTATAATATAATAATGTTGCTAATCTCTCATTTTCAGGTTTGATGATGCATGAAAATTCGTTTAATATCTTTTTGTAAAGTTCTGTGAATAATTTAATATTTTTAACACGAATTTTTGAAATAACATCAATCAAATAAAGTGCCATTTGGAGAGTTATTTTGTAAGTTGTTATTAATTCGATAATTTGTGAAGATATTTGTAAAATATTATTGGGATTAACCACCCAAATGATTTTGGTTGCTTGATCTGGGTACTCGAATACTTTAATTGGTTTAAGGTCACTGTAAATGCACCAATTTTCATTTTTTGGCTGCTCTGAACTTGACATGCTTTGTAAAAATTTTGGTTGTGTCACTTTTGGCATAAATTATGTGATCTCACGCACAAAATGTGGTCTTAGCCTACTCTTTATGGTTTTAGGATAGATATCTGATGTAGATATATAATCGGCTTTAATAGTAAAGGAGAGTTTCTAGTTTTATATCATAAAGGTATTCAAAAAAAAAGTATAATCCTTTTATGCAATTTCAACGGTTCTATAGAAAATGAAAAAAAAGAGAACGCAAAAAAATTGCAACTTTTTTTAGGAACAAAAAGAATATAAAAAAAGGTAGTGGGGCTTCCAGGCGCGTTGCGCCCTCTAGCCCTGAAGATGTTTAGTATAAATGAAGTTTTTATTCGGAAAATTGTTAGTCTTCTGGGTCGAAAACATTATATAATGTGTCACTTTTCACAAATTATATATGTTTTCATGTTTTGTCACTTTTCTGTCACTTTTCAGGAAAAAACATTTTTATTATTATATATAAATGAATTTTACAAAACCACCGTTACCGTTCTTTGGAAATAAGAGTAAATGTAAAGATATTATATTGAGAGAACTTAAGAAACTACCGAATGGTCTAACATTTGTAGATTTGTTCGGTGGAAGTTTCTATATATCCCATTTATGTCATACAATATTCCCAGACTCAACGATTATATGCAATGACTTCGACAACTATATGGACCGTCTCAAACATATACCAGATACAAACAATATATTGAAAGAGTTAAAAGAAAAGATACCTATAGGTAAGATGGAACGTATACCATTAGATAACAAAAATATTGTGAGAGAGGTTTTGAAAAAAGCAGAATATATAGACTGGGATAGTATATCTGCTAGACTATTATATAGTGGTTCTATAAGAGTTCATGACATTGAAACACTTATGTCAAAAGTTTTATATCTTAACTATACAAATGTTTTCAAAGAGGACATAGAAAAATATATTGAGGGTATAGAGTTTGTGAGATGTCATTGGACAGAGTTGTATGAAAAATATAAAGACAAGGAAAATGTTTTCTTTATAGTGGACCCGCCGTTCTATAACACATGGGATTTTCAATACCAAGTAGACTGGACTTTGAGAGACTCTTTAGAAACTTTAGACGTTTTACATAACCATCCATGCTTTTACTTTACATCCGATAAAAGTGGTTTGGAAACTGTTATGAGATGGTTAGAGGACATACATGACTATGAGTTTATATATGACAAGATAGAATATGAGAGAGGTCCTATAAACCGGAGAAAGTGTCATAACAAAGAAATTTTATTAGTAAGTAAATGTGGTTTGAAATAGGACTACTTGTTTTAGGTTTTTTCCATTGTGTCATTTATTTATTTGACGTGGCAGAAAAGTACAGAGAATATGAAGATGAACCAATGCCTGCAAATGTTCAGCATATGTACTCGTAAGAGATATTTTTATCTAATATTAAATGGACGCACAGAACTTAGCGAATGCACAGCAACCTGGACAACCAAACCCAGAGAATATTCCAAATGAAGTTAGAATACAAACTGCAATGGCAAACTATGGTCAAGTGCCAACAGATGTACAAATGCAAACTGCCATGTCAAATGACGCTGCGTTAGGTTTGCCACCATGGTATGCAAATATGAGATGGAAAGAGTTTTATACAAACCCTGAAGTGGGATATAAACAACTTTATGCAGATGACGCGAACACAGGAGTTGACCCAGAATATGTTTTCTACCAGAGGAGAAACAGAATGTATGAGCTCCAGTTAAAGAATGCTATGGAACTCAACAGGAAACGCAAAAGACTAGGCGGACATTAGATTTTTACACGTAGTAAATGGGTTTCTTCAGTAGTATTGGAAACTTCTTCAGAAGAGTTGGAAGAGGTATATGGAATGGAATAAAATCTGTCGGAAAAGGAATTTGGAACGGAGTCAAAATATTGGTAAAAGAGTAGGTCAGTTTGTTGGTATTATACCTAAAGACCCTGAACCAGAAGAACAAGCTCCTGTTATACAACAGCCTGAACCTGCACCACAGTCTAGTTGGCAACCAAATCCAACACCTCAACCGTATTAAAAAATTATATTTTTACCGTTCGATAGTAGTTGTATATGAAACTAAGTTCTAAGTAAAACGCATGGTATAATGGAATTATTCTTTTTCTTCCATCTGTAGTAAACCATACTTGAAAGTCTGAAATACTTCCACTTGGTGGTTCGTATAACTTTGTAGGTTTTTCGTAAAAGTCATTTGCCAAGCATAAGAAAGAGTTTTGGGCGCCAGAAAATGAAGCATGAACAATAATAGCATCTTGGTCGAAAATATTTTCATATGTTCCATTAGGGTTTTCGACTTCATAAAAGTCCGGGTGTACTGGATATGCTGCAGGCTGATTTAACATCCTCATAAATCTATACCATGCCAAGTTGTATATTTTGTAGAAATATAAACGTTTTCTCCAAGGTCTTCTATTTTATTGATTTTAACAGTTGCATTTTTCCTGTCATAAATAATATCGAGATGGTATTCTCCTTCGTCAATGTTATACTGGTTTGCATATTCGATATAGATATCGTTTATTTTTTCTTGAAAAGCTTGAAGAGTTGTTTCTAAATTTATAAGCAAACTAACTTGTAAAAGTTTTCCCTGTTCAAATTTCTCATACATACGTTTTTCTTTGTTATAGTATCGAACTTCAAAACCGACCGTAAATGGGAAACCATGTATGGCTTCTGAAATGAACTTCATTCTACGAAAGCCAATAGCTTTTGTGACAGATGGGTCTCTTAACCATCTTAATGGGTAGTCAAAACGATAGCCTTCATGCTTTACGGTCTCTGTCTCAAACTTTTGACCGACATTAGTAAAAAGTTCATCTAATGGTTTAGTTGTAGCAACTCTTGAATTTTCTTTTTCTATTGAAAGCATATTTTATCTAGAATAAAAATGTCGAAAGATATTGCTTCCATAAGAGAAATACAACACAACCGACAACTCATTATGCAAGCTCTAAATAAGAATACAACAAACTTTTCAAACTATTCTAAGATATCTGAGTCATTGAAAGAAGGAAACTTAAAACTGACATTAAACCCAATGACAGATGAGTTTCTGTTTCAAGACAATAAGAACCATACTGTCTGTATAAATCCAACAAAAGGAACTTTAAACGAGAAACCTATAAATGAACTTCTTTTGAAAGCAGATGTTGACAACAAAGCTGACAAAGAATATGTAGACGATGCAATAGCAAAAGAAGAAGAAAGAGCTAACAATGCTTATGCAACAAAAGAACATACTCATCCTGAACTAGCAGACAAAACATATGTTGACAATAAAATGTCAAGTGAAGTGACAAGAGCTGAAAACGAATATTCTAAAAAGACTCATATACATTATATTAACCAAATACCAAGTCTTAAGGAAACATTAGAGACAAAAGCAGATAAGACTCATACACATTCTATATCTGATATTACAAACTTACAAGAAACCTTAAACAGGAAAAGTGACGTTGGACATACACATACCATTGCAAATATTACAAACTTACAAGAAACCTTAAACACTAAAGCAAATAAGACTCATACACATTCTATATCTGATATTACAAACTTACAAGAAACCTTAAACACTAAAGCAAATAAGACTCATACACATACAAGTTTTACAACTTTTACAGCAGATGATATTACACTAAACACAACCTTGCCAAGTAAAGGTCCAACAATACCACCGGCAACAAGTCTTGTAGATACTTTGATATCTAATGACAATAGTATTATGCATCTAAGACAGGAACTCAATGTGCTTAAACAAATTTTGCCGAATCTTATTTACCCGGTTGGCTCATTATATGTTTCAATGAACTCTACCAGACCAGAAGTAGTACTTGGTTTTGGAACTTGGACTCAAATAGTCGACAGGTTTTTGTATTGTGCAAACTCTTCAAAGGAAACAGGTGGAAGTAAAACGATTTCAGGTGCAAATTTACCTGCACACAGTCACTACATAGATTTAAGTACATCTCAAGCAGGTTGGCATAGTCATAGATATATTGGTTGGTCAGGAATGACAAAAGGTAAAGGATATGATGTTAAAGACGACGTTAAGTTTGCTATAAATGGTTACTGGAGTGACACTCAGGGAGATGGAAACCAGACACATTTCGTTTCAGGATATACACAAACAACGGGACAAAGTAAAGACTACATGCCACCTTACATGACAGTTTACGCATGGTATAGAAATGCTTAGTCGTCATTTTCAACTTCTTTAGCATATTCGTCAGGAGTTGTCTTATATTTGTTAGGAACTGTCTTTGAAAGTATACCACCTTGAACTTTGACAAGTTTGAAACGAGGTCTGACAATAGTAGTTTTATCTTCTGCTTGCAGTGTGTACATTTTGCCATGTTTGCCTAAAACTTCATAATATTCTCTTGTATACTTTCTTCTATTTTTACGAACACGAATGTGAGTACCTGTCGGGTTCCCATTGTTGTCATAGTCAATAGTATTTTCATATGGGTCGCGTTTAGGTATTTCTATTTTTACTTTGTCACCTTTCTGAAGTTTGAAGCCCGGCATTCTTTCTTGTTTGTCTCTTTTGACTAAATTATTAAATATATAGTCTTTCTCTAAGTCAGGGTTGTTTTTCATTTCTTCGGGGGAGTGGTTTCCCAAACCTTTTTGTTTACGGTTATTGTAAATATTTAAAACTTGTCTCATCTTTGCCATGGAGAAGTGTCTATATTTGTCGTCATATGACATTTCATTTGCTTCACCACCTTGTGGTTGGTTTAAGTCTCTTAACATTTTTATACAACCGTCAATGACACCAAGAGCAGAATGGTTTTGGTCGACAATGAAATATTGGTTTACATTTTTTGAACGCAGATAGTTTTTTACATCATCTGATTTGAAAGAACTTTCACAGTCAGATGTCAGTTTTGTTGGATGGTATTTGTCAACGAATATTGTCAAAGCAGTTTTCACATCTAAAATATTTTTGGACCATAATGGTATGGCTTCACAGTATCTTGTGTTTTGACCAACAAATATTAACCAGTATGGAGGTCCATCTTCTCTATACCTCGGAATGTTTTCCAAGATATCCATAAACCAAGCATTTGGTGTTGAACTAAAGATTTTTATCATGAGTGCTTTCTTTGTCGCTTTAGAAACATAGGGGTCCTTGTTCGGATTCGTCATTTTTTACCCTATAAGAAATGGGTTTATTTGGCGCATTAGCAGGAGTTGCATCCAGATTTTTACCCGCAGTGGGAACAATAGCCAGAGGTGCATTTGGAATTGGAAAGAAGATTTTGAGTACATTAGGTATACTTAAAGAGAAAGCACAACCTATTATACAAATTGTACAGAAAGGTTGGGATGTAGCACGAGATGCAACAAATCTTATTCCAAATCCTGAAACAAGAGGAAAAGTTCAAGGATGGATGGACAATGTAGGAAGACAAGCAGGAAACTATTATAACAAAGCAAATGACTACTATAACCAAGCAGGACACTATATGGACCAAGGTGAAAGATTCTTTAACAGAGGATATAACCATGCACAACAGTGGGTAAACAATAACCAACCTCAACCGCCTCAAACGTGGGGAATGTAAATTTTTTTACTGAGATGAAATGAACAATGCAGCATTGAGACAAATGAGTTCAAGATGGATTTGTCGGCTTCCAGCAGTTACACCACGTATTTGTAAAGTTCTTCCTATACCTCAGGAAGTTTTAGACCGACTTAAAAAACCTAAACAACCAGTTGAAAACAAACCAAACTAAAATTTTTTACTGAGATGAAATGACCGAAGAAGTTGAAACGGTAGATTTGACACCACAAACAAAAAGTTCAGAACCATTGTCAAAACCTGTCAAAGAACTTACAGATGAAGAGAAAAATTCAATAATAGAAAGTGCCAGGTCTGGAAATACAAACCCTAACTATAAAGTCACTTTTCATAGAAATGGAACGGCTAGTATCTCAAAAAAGAAACAGACTCTCACAAATAAAATATTGAAGTCTGAAGGAGCTTTCGAGACAAAGATGGAAAAGTTTACTTCACTGACCAACAGTTCATTATAGAACATCTCATTGCTTAGAGTCGAAATATTCTAAACTTTACAACAAATACAAAAAGTTGAAAGGAAAACAAAAACAATGGCATATGATATTTATGAAGATGTTGACGACACAACTGTTCCTGCAAGTGAAGTAAAGTCAGAGAACCGAAAAGTGACGAAAAACTGATAGAAGAAGATAAACAAAACCAAAGTTTAGTTTCCAAACTAAACCAAGTCAACCTTCATTAGCTGGTATGGGTTGGCGTCAAAGACTTATGGCAGCAGGCGGTTATGTAAAGTAAAGAAAAAAAATATTTTTTTATTTTTTAAAAATGCCCCATATAGATATGGATAGAAAGTCTGCTAGAATAAAAGCAGAGTTACAAAGATATGGTTGGAGAGTTTCGAAGAATTTTAAATATAGGAAGGGAAGACCCATAAAAGTCTATGACAAATTGTCTGTCTTCGCTACGAAATGGATTTGGAAACAGCACGTGCAAATTATCCAAACAGACTAGAGAGGTTAGAAGAAGAAGTCTTATGGACATGCCTTTCGATGTTAGTGAACTCAAGTTGAAGGACACGACGGCTTTGCCAGATTCTACTGGAAACATGACGAACAATTGCATCCTTTGAGAAGGAAAAAGGAAAAGGTGAAGACACACATGCTCCATGGAAAGAACAAATATGCATATGAAAAGTATCGTGAAGTTAGAAGTCAAATTACATCTGGTCGAACCTTTACAGTAAACTTTGACGAAGGAAAGAACAAAGAAGGCTTCATGGGAGTACTTGCTGCAATTCAAGACGGAAATAAGAAAGGACACACCTGAGATTGACCATAAAGATTTGGATGGTCACATTTACTATGCACATGGCAATGAACAACACCGCAAAACTTCTTGACGCTTTCAGACTACAAAGAGAGAACAAATGGTTGACTCCGACTCAGACATTTTGAATGCAATTGAAGGAATTGCAAGTGTCAAGTTCGAATGGTACCAACCTAACCCTCAAGCAGTCAGACAACATGCTGGATACTTCCGTTCATAAATAAGTCTGACATTGACTTGACAAGGTATGGAATTTACAATTCAATTGAAAATTGTCAATGAACCTTGTATTCTTACATGTCTCAGGAACTCTGGTCTTGTTACAGATGAGAAGATGAAGTATCTTGAGTCATGTGTGAAGACAAGGTACATTCTCAGAGGTCAATTGGCAAAAATTGCACCGTTGGCAAATGTCAATATCCGAGTCAACATACCTACAGCTAAAGGTTCTTCACATGACGACTATGTTGTTGACAAAGACTTACCATGGTTGAAGATTGTAATTGTCCACAACCACTTCATGTTTGAACGAAAGTCTTACAAACCCATTCTTTGGTAAAAGTAAGTGCAACATTGTCAGAGCTGTAAACATTCTTTTCGAGAAAGGTTTGTTGGAACAACTCCAGATGACAAGCTTACAGAAAGTTTGTACCAAAAGACGAAACAAACTTTTCATTGTTAGCAAGACCAAAAGTTGTTCCAGACAAAGTTCTAGTACAAAAGAAGTACACAGTTCCACAAGGAGTTGGTATGTTCGGATACCAACCTGAACCAGAAGAACTTCCAATGAGGTTGCAAGAACTTCAAGATGCTATAAACAAACTTCCATTGAGACATCCAATTGAAGTCAAATTGTATTGGAGAGCATCTGAGTTAGGTCAGAAGGTTTTATATGAAACAGGTTGCTTCGACGATGTTTATGAGATAATAGGAGAAGTTTCTCAGAAGATAAGAGACTCACTTGAATTTCCACAAACTGGACCAATTGGTTGCGACAAGTTCGACTCAGATGAAAAGATATACTATGTCGACCTTAAGGCTGCATACATGAGGTTTGTCCAATATATTCCGACTGGAATTCCAAACGAAGATGGTGAGTTCCCGGGAAGGAACTATACAGTTGGAAAAGTCATACAACAACTGTATGATATTAGGAAAGCTTCAAACCCCAAACATGCAATGACACTCAAATTGTTTATGAATTCGACATGGGGATATTCCATTAAGAAACCTCAAGAGATGAAGAGTAAACATTATGAGAAGGTCGACAACTTTGTTGAAAGGTTTTCTCCTTTTGTTTTGAAGTACGAATTCACTCAAGGTCAAAGTGGCTTAGTAACCACATTAAAACCTATTGTCGAACATTGGTCTTACCCTCAGTTCGCAAAAGCAGTCCTTGACGAGTACAACAAATTCTTCTCCGAAGTCAAATCGAAAGTCAAGGTTTACTATGAGAACATTGACGCACTCATGACGAACGAAGAAGGATACAACAAACTCATTGAAATGGGAATGGTCGGTGAAAAGATGGGCTGTTTTAAGCTAGATAAGGTATTTTCCGAAGTTCATGTAATATCGAAAAGGAAATATTGGGGTATACTTGAAGAGGGCACAGAAATAAAACATTGCATGAAGTAAAAGTTTATTTTTAAAAAAGTGACATTTTTTAAATTTTATTTGAACTGTACGCTGAGTTTGTTGGAGAAGACCGTTGGGAAACTTGTTTGTTAGATGAGAAATATGAAATGGCATACCATTTTAAAACAATATATTTTTACATATATTAAATGCTTCAGGTTGAAAAA